GGTTCGTGCGGGCCATGGGGTCCGTGTGGTTCGTGGGGGCCATGGGGTCCGTGTGGTTCGTGCGGGCCATGGGGTCCGTGTGGTTCGTGGGGGCCATGGGGTCCGTGTGGTTCGTGCGGGCCGTGGGGTTCGTGCGGGCCGTGGGGGCCGTGGGGTTCGTGCGGGCCGTGGGGTTCGTGGGGTCCGTGCGGGCCGTGGGGTCCGTGCGGGCCGTGGGGTTCGTGGGGTCCGTGGGGTCCGTCGGGGCCGTGGGGTCCGTTTAAGTCTTTGCCGTCGTTGGGGCCATGGTGTCCACCATGTCCATCGATGTGGTGTCCATGCTGTTCATCCAAGCCATTAATATTAGCGTCATCGCCATGGTGGCCGTGGTCACCCTGCTCGTGATCATGGATGTGGTGTGCACCATGTGCTTCAATAGGGTGTCCATAGCGATCATCCAAGCCATCAACATCAACATTTTGGCCATGGTGACCTTCATCATAAACGTGGTCTCCACCAGATCCTCCGACATGGTGTCCAATGTGATCATCCAAAATATCAACATCAGCACCATGCCCATGGTGACCGTGGTCATGAACATTGTGTCCATCACCATATAAGTACTGTTCCTGACTATAGGGGTCGTATCCATGACCGTCACTCTCTCCATCACTTGGTTCTTCTCCTACACAGAAAATTAATTAAAAATAAGGGATTGAAACTAAAAAGAAAAAAAATAAAACAAATTTAGCTTCGAGTAAACCAACCGAGGAAGCGAGCCGAGACATGGGAGGAGACGAAAAGAAGAGCGAGGAGGAGGTCGAGAAGGAGCAAGGTCCTGTAGTAGGTCATTTTTGGCTGAGTTTTGCTTTGCTAAACAGGTGCTTAACCATTGCCTTTTATAGAGTGTCCTTGGGTACTTAGTCAAAAATCAAGTAATTTAGTTGAGAAAAATCCACAAGTAATCCTTGTTTTAATACAACAGATAATTGACCATTTCTTGTGATTATATCCCTAATCAACCCTTAATTATTATGACACATTAATTAATTAATTAATTTCCTAAATTTAATTCTAAGCCATTAATAACAATTAATCCACTCATAACTTTAATTAAATAAATATTTGTAAATTATTTAATGGGAATGGACTAATAGTTTATTTAATTAATTTGATAGTAAGTTTATTCCATATAAGTTTAATTTTGAGTTGAATAATAAATTGACACGTAGGAAATTAAAAAGAATCATTTAATCATTTAAAAAAATTTAAGAATGAAATAAAATACTTTTTAATATAATTTAGCGTATTTTTTAATATAAATTAAAGCAAATAAAGTTTATAAATAGAAATTTCATAATATATAAAAACCACAAGGATGAGAAATTGCAACAAACCAAACAAAGTGTAACAGTTCAGCATTTCAAACAGCATACATTTGCTTTTATTTAAATTTAAACACACACACACATAAAACAGTCTTTTATTTCATCTTATGACTTTAGACCTCTAATTCTTAACGTCTTCGGTTTTTGCATCATGGTCGTGACCGTGGTGCCCGTGATGGTCGTGGTGGTCGTGATGGTCATGATGGTCGTGATGGTCGTGGTGGCCATGGTGTCCGTCTAAGTCATCAATATCAGCATCGTGGCCATGGTGTCCACCATGTCCTCCACCATGGTGTTCATGGTGACCATCCAAGCCATCAACATTCGCGTCATGGCCATGATGACCGTGGTCGTGGTGCCCGTGATCATGGTGTCCGTGACCGTCACTCTCTACATCACTTTTCTTTTCCTCTGCATATAAAATTAATTAAAATAAAAGAGATTATACACAATAAAAGTACGTGCATGCACTCAAAAATTAATAATCTTTAACTATCATCTCAAAGGTAAATGATTCAGTCTCTTATCTCACAATAGTTAAATTAAGCATAAAATGAATTTAGGGTCTATTGGATGATAAAAGTCCCACATCGGTAGGGAATGATCATGGATTTATAATCAAAGAATACTCTCCATTGGTATGAGCCCTTTTGAGGAAACCCAAAGCAAAGCCACGAGAGCTTATGCTCAAAGTGGACAATTTCATACTATTGTGGAGAGTCGTGTTCATCTAACAGGGTTCAAGTGAACTAACCGAGGAAGCGAGCAGAGACATGGGAAGAGATGAACAGAAGAGCGAGGAGGAGGCCGAGGAGGAGGAAGGTCTTAGAGTAGGCCATTTTTCAGTGAGTTTTTGCTGTGTTGGTCGTTGCGTTATGGATACCCATTTATAGAGGGTTGTGTTGTGTTAGGTGTCGTCGAGAATTTAGTCAAAAATCAAGTATTTTGGTTGAGAGAAACCCACAAGTAATCCTTGTTTAAACACTACACATAATTTGACCATTTCTTGTAATTAATATGATACATTAATTAACTACTTACCTAAATTTAATAATAATTTACATAATTAATTTATAGAATTTAGTTTAATGCTAAGTTTAATTTTGGGTTGAATAATAAGTTGACACATACGTAAACTTGAACTAGTAGGAAATTAAAAAGAATTATTTAATTAATTATAAAATTTTAAAAATGAAATAAAACAAAATAAAATATTAAATCCGACAAGTTTCCTAAGGTTTGAAAAATGTCCATTTGTTTATGTTTTGTTGGAAAACCAAACAAAGAAGCTTAATATCATTGGTTAATTTTCAATTTTCTGATGTCTTTTGACATTTTGGACAAATTAATTTTGTTTTTTTTTGTTGTTTTTTTTTATTTTTTATTTTTTATAAATTTGTGTGAATGTCGAACTAAATGAATACCCGTTCTAGATAAGATTTAGAAGACGTCAAATTCTACAAAATAATAATAATAATAATAATAAAGTTTTCACGAAATCTTACTCTATTTCTTAGAATTTTTAAACTTATCCTCTCATCTGTCTATGAGTCAATTTAATATTTTGAACATTAAATACTCTATTTTAGTCGTTATGTTTGATCTTCGCTTCAAATTATGTCTTGCTGAGTGGTCTTAGTTTAGTTGTAATTGACATGCTATTTGTTAGAGTACAACCCTATTGCTACTAGATATTGTTCGGTTCGGTTCGTTACGTATCATCATTAGCCTCACAGTTTTAAAATGCGTCTGTTAGGAAGAGGTTTTCACACATTTATAAGGAATGCTTTGTTTTCCTCTCCATCCGATGTAAGATCTCATAATCTACCCCCCTTGGGGGCTAGCATCCTTGCTGACACACCGTTCGGTGTCTAGCTCTGATACTATTGTAACAACTCAAGTCCACTGCTAATACATATTGTCTGCTTTGACCTGTTTCATATCACCGTCAACTTAATAGTTTTTAAAATGTATATGTAGAGAAATATTTTCACACCTTTATAAGTAGCCGTCTTAACTCTGTGGGTAGAGTGCATGGCTTTTAACCATGTGCTCGCGTGGGTTTGATTCCCAAAGATGGCGACATATAACAAGTTAAAGCATACTATATTTATTTAGCTGTGGGCTTAAGCTATTACATTATATCTTAGATTTCACAGATTAGCTTGTGAACGATGACCCATTTCAGAGCTCGGGATGGACATGAAGACTCGATCCCCACTGCTGAAGGAAGCAAGATTGCCATGCTCGCTCGGAGCAAACAGGGGTGTTGAGCCTCTTGGGAGAGCACACCGATGTGGACGTCGACCCCCATTGAAGCCATCTTCATCTCCTTTGTGGACAGCCTCTTGATTCCCAAGCTCACGTCTGCTTCCCACAACACCAAGGCTCCCACCAACAATGCCACAATACGGTTGCTCGTGGAGTCAGCTAATGCAAATTCTTTGCACCTAGCTATCCCAGACACGTGAAAACCTCTCTTTAATATATGCGTTTTAAAACTGTGAGGCTGATGGTTATATGTAACGGATTAAAGCGGACAAAAATCTACTTATATTGGATTTGGACTCTAACATATATTAAAAGCTTAGATCGATAATTTTCATGGGAGTAAGTTGTGATGCCCCATATCGAATGGAGAAGGGAACAAAGCATAAATGCATAAAAACCTCTCCCTAGTAGACGCATTTTAAAACCGTGAGACTCATAACAATACGTAACGAGACAAAACAGACAATATCTACTAGCAACAGACTTGAACTGTTACAAATAATATCAGAATGGTGTACCAGCGAGAAGATGACCCCTCAAGAGGGGTAGATTGTAAGAATCCACCTCGGGAGAGGAAAACTAAGCAATCCTTATATGAAAACTAAGCAATCCTTATATTTCTTATAAGGATGTGAAAACCAATAACACTGACCTTACAAATAATATCAGAATCAGACATGAGTGGTATACAGCTGATAAAATTAGATAAAATTGATTAAATTAGATTAGAGCTCGATTTTTGTAACATCGTTATATATTTGATATAAAATTTAAATTTTATATCAAATTATAATAGATTCTTCTTAATTATTTTAATAATATCATAGCTATTAGGCAAAATCTAATAAATATAAAATTAAGCAAATTAAAGCAAACATAATTCATTAAACTTCCATTATTGAGTTTCTGACGTCGACTTAACTGCCCACGTCACGTCGGGACACGTATACAAGACCAATACCTGCATGTCCGCCACGTGTCGTCTCAAAGATTACCACTGTATTAAATATTTAGCTGATAATTATTCAAACAATTAAAGAACAAAAATAAAAACTCCTCAAAATTTATTTAAATTATGTTAATAGAACACTGAAAGGCTTCATTTTTTTTCCGATCAAGTTCTGTAAGAAAATTAATATTCATAAATATATTAGCAAATCTCTGTTTTTTGGTTGCTTTTTCGGGGAATTTAATGTTTCTTTTAGTTACCGTCGCGATTATTGCTCCGTTCACGGTCCTGATTCAGCCCCCATCCCCGAACGCCGAACTGGAGCTCGGCGGCGGCGATGAGGAACTCCACCGCCTGCTTTGGCGTGAGAAGCTCCACCACCTTCTGCACTGTCCTCAGCCGTAGATCGTCGGCTTTCTTTATAATGCTCACCAGACCTTCCACTTTCCCCGTCAGTTCCGTCCTTGTTCCGATCAGATCGCTCACGTTGTCTTGCCACTCCGACAGCTCGTCCGTTATCGCATTCTCCTCCTCCACCTATCAAACATTTCCCACCGCCCTTCAACAAAAAAAATTACACCCCAAATTCTGTTTTTTTTAATGTTTGACGACGGTTCTTATTTCGCTCGAAGGGTTTGTTAGTAATCACTGACTCTCCATCCATAATGATATGATATTTTCGGTAAAAGGTCTCGTACCAATTAAAAAAAGTGGGACCCTTCTAACAGTTTTCACGAACAAGTACGCTATAAAGCCTCCCTTAAGTCTACGAAGCCCTCAAACAGCCACCCCTTAATCGAGGTTCGCTTCATAAGCCCTTAAAGGTGTGACATTTGAGTCACCTTTTGATTACTTCTTCTTTTTTCGACACTTTGAGCCGAACCACCATCCCTAATGACTACACCTTCGAGGTTCACAATTTATTTGTTCGACACTTGAAGTCGAACAACCATCCATCAATCGAGACTCGACTCGACTCATTCTTTGGAGCTCTTGAACAAAATACCCTATTTATTTGACACTTAAGACACTTTTGACTATAAGGCTTACTTACAACTTCTAGTTGAAATCGGTACGACTCTGATACCATGTTAAGAATCACGACTCTCCACAATAGTATGATATTATTCATTTTGAGCCTAAACTCTGGTGATTTTGTTCGTTTGTTTATCCAAAATGTCTCGTACTAATGGATTCATCCATAAACTCACTCAGCATCATTCCCTAAATTAACCCATTTGGGACGGACTCCCGGAGCTATCTGGGCTTGTTTTGAATATGTAATTTTTTTCACTCAAGAATTCAACATCTGGGTTTTAATTTCTATTCAATTTTGAAAATTATTGGGGTGTTCTAAAGAGTATTAAAAAAAAAAGGAAATTGAAAAAAGAAATGCAACAAAAAATAAAGCAAAAGAGGGTTAGGGGCTTACAGTTTGGCATTGGAGCTCGCTAACACGGCAAAACTGAGAAGGGGAGAGGTCACCGAGGTCGCCGGTTCGAAGCCCATGGAGAATATCAACGATACGTGATTCAAAAAGGATGGAGGATTCAGAGTAGATGAGATGAAACGTGGTGGTGGGTCGCCAGCCGGCGATCCAGTGGAGGGAGCGTTCCAGGGAGGTAGCCCAAGGAGCGGAGAAGACGGAGAGAGGGTCGCGCTCGGCGGCGAGGGACTTGACGTGGTAGTAATCGCTGTAGTGGGACATGACAGTGTGGACGAGGTGGCGGAGGTCATCGGTGGTGGAGGATCGGTTTTCTTTGGCGGCGGTGGTGGTGGAGGAAAGCTGGTGGATGAGGTGGCGGAGATGGTCAAACCAGGTGGCGTAGAAGCCCGTGAAGTTGAACCCGCTGCTCATTTGGGTTCCACTCGTGGAAATTACTAGAAACACAGATCAGGATAGCGGTTTCAAAAATCGTTAGCCAATTTTATGTTATTAAAAAAATAAATAAATAAAGCGGGACGGTGCGTCAGCCTAATAGAGTGTCGCCACGTGGACTGCTTACGTGGAAGCCGAATTCTGAAGCGTGTCCACACGGCCGCAAATTAGTTTCCACTCCCATTATTTCAGGGGTTTTCCATACTTAATTTAGGGGTTTTTCATTTTCCACGACATCTTCATTTTAAATATATTTACTTACATACTTTTTTTTTTTTTTTTTTTAAATTT